AGAAGAAGAAGAAGAAGAAGAAGAAGAAGAAGAAGAAGAAGAAGAAGAAGAAGAAGAAGAAGAAGAAGAGGCTCTGTGTAAGTGAACTTCAGATCTAAAACCCTGGTGTTTCTTTCTCCCTGTGCATTGCTCTTGAGATCCACTTTGGCCAGCTGGGAAGTTTCTGCCTCTCTGGATCTGAGAAAAAGTCACAGGACAATGGATACAGCCTGATGAATGACAGGACAAGGACTCCATCAGCACAGAGGTTAACCAAGCTAAAACCAACTCCTACCAAGCTAAAACCAACTCCTAGAATCTTCAGATTTTCTTTATTTGAGATTATTTGCTCCTTTTGTCATAACTTCCAGAAGTTTAGAGCTACACAGGCTTGATTTTTTGGATACTTTTTAGTATCCTTATTTTGCCTCCTCCAATCTGGAGGAGAGCAGGTCACAAACATGCACTATGCGTGTTAATGAAGCAAAACAGCAAAATGTAAAAATATCCATCCTCATTCATGGCTGGTGAGACCGCAATTTAAAAATGACACCCTCAAGCAGCAGCCACACAGACTAGCAGAAGTCTCAGCAGGGAGTGACCACATGAGTTTCAGAGGCACTTCCCCTGCCTGAACTCTGAAGTTGGCCAGTCGCTGCCTGTGGCAGCACTAGGATGTGCTGTTTCGTGACAAGTTTTCCTCCTGGGTGACAGGAACTCCTCTGGGATAAGGGGAGTGAAACAGCACAGCACTCTCAAAATGGTAGACACACAGGAAAAGAGGTAAAATGATTAATGTTACTATAAAAAGCGATAGGTTTCAAAAGCCATAGTCTTTCATATGCCTTTGACCTAGGGAGGGCAGTTAGGAATTTATTCTAGGAGGAAAATTGTTGCTGTTGTTGTTTAATTTTAGAAAGAAGGAAAGAAAGCCAGGCACAGTGACATATGTGCCTGGAGTCCCAGTTACTCAGGAGGATCAAGTGGGGAGACTGCTTGAGCCCAGGAGTTAAGAGATCAACTTGGGCAACACAGTAAGACTCCATCTCAAAAATAAGAATAGTGCTGGGGATGGAGCTGAGCGACACAGGGCCTGCCTGGCAATTGCAAGATCCTGAGTTCAATTCCCAGTACCAAAAATAAATGAGTAAATAAATAAATAAATGGGAAAAAAAATCAAGGGCCATTTACTGGTGGCACACACCTGTAAACCCAGCACTTAGGAGGCTGAGGCAGGAGGATGGAAAGTACAAGTCCCATGTTGACATTATACTGAGATCTTGTCTCAAATATTAAAAATAAAGTTTTAAAGTGCTGGGGATGCTAGCTAAGTGTGAAGACTCTGGGTTCAACACCCAGTACCATACACACACACAAAAAAAAAAATGATTTTTTTTTTTTTTTTTTTTAAATGAGCCTTGCAAACAACGAAAATGTGGACCTGCTCTATACATCCTATCCTGGTGGGGCAGTGGACTCAATTTCCTGGAGGGTTTAAGAAGGTTTTTCTTATTTGTTTGTTGAGATAGGATCTGTTCATAGTTCAGGCTATCCTTGAACTGTGTATGTAGCCTAGGCTGGCCTCTAACGTTGCTCCTTCTTCCTCAGCCTCCCAAGTGCTGGGATTACAGGTGTGTGCCACCATGCCCGAATTTGCTTGTTTATGGTTTCAGTTACAGTGATCTCATGCTGTGTGTGCAACTGTGACAAAGGACACAGACCAGCAGGCAGGCAGGCAGGCAAGCAGACAGACAGACAGACAGACAGACAGACAGACAGACAGACAGACAGACAAGAAAGTGCTAAAACCCACTTGTCTCTCCACTAGTCTCCTGGTCTCCTCTGGGCGGGTTCTGTGGGGGATCTGGGGACCACATGCCTCAAGGCTCAGGTCCAGAGCAGACCATCAGGGGCACCTGTCCAGCCTTGCCCCTTTCTGTGAGTCTGTTCACATGGTCACTGCTGACTGGGGCAGAGGCTGGAGCCTGAGCTCTGTTGGCTGATTGGTTCCAGAACCCTGGGAACTGCGCAGTCCCAAACTAGAATGTCGCAGTGAGTCTGGGCCATCACAGAGGCCCCAAAGAGGAAGCTACCCGGGTCACTGGCAAAGGCAGTGCACAGCCTGTTTGAATCTCTTACTTGAAACCAAATGGGGGTTTCACTTCCTCGTCCAAATCCCAGTTTTCCCCTCTACACTCACCCATCCCCAAACACCAGGGCAGCTGGAGACCTCAGGAGCCCTGCACCTTTGAGATCAGAGTGACAGGCCAGCCAGCCCGCCTGGGGTCAGCACCTGATGAGCACAGGCGTGTAGAGCAGGGCAGCGATGGGCGTCACGTTGATGCCCATCAGCATCTTGCTGTCGATGTCGGGCAGCCCCATGTTGCCGTACTTTACCTCGCGGTAGGTCTCATCATAGTGCAGGATCAGCTGCATCTGGAGGAGGCCTTGGGGACAGAGAGCGACATGGAGGGAACAACCTAGCTCAGCGGGCAACCGAACACAGGCAGTGCAAGCCTTGCAGGGAGCTCCCGGTAGTCCCAACGCGAGTAGGGGCGGCGTGGGGGCGGGGACGGGACCTGGGTCTTGGTCGGGGGGAACCCCCTCCCTGCCCCACGCCGGGCCGCTGCAGCTACCCTGCAGCCGACCGGGAAGTGTGAAAAGAGAAGGCTGGCCGGCCCCAAGTTTCTCTTTCCCGGCCGGAGTCCGGATGGCGGGGAACTGCAGAGCCTGTACACCCACACCCACACCCACACCCACACCCACCCCCCGGCCAGCGCGTACCCAGATAAACACCATAGGTGAGCGTGCCGCCCGCGCTGGCCGCCAGCACGTTCTTCAGCACCCCGAGACGCCTGCGGCGGTAGTAGCGGCGCTCCTCCTCCTCCTCGTTGTAGTTGGGGTACGCGCCCACCAGCTCGTCCAGCTGCGGACAGACAGCGTGCGCTCGCACCTGACTCGCCAGCCCAGCGCCCCGCGGGGTCACCCCCATCCCGCGTCACTTTCGCGCGCTCCCAGCCCAGCTCACCGGCGCCTCGGGCCCGTCGGGGACCCCGAGTCCGTCTGGGACACCGAGCCCGTCAGGGACCCCGAGTGAGTTGCCGTCTCCCTCCGGCCCTGCAGCCCCCGCCACTGGGTAGAGCGGTGGCTTCGCCTCCATGACCTGACCCTGTGGAAGATTCAGATTCTCCTCTCGGCGGTGTGCCCCGGCAGCGGGACCGGGCACTTCCTCCCCGTGCTGGGGACCGCCCCTCCCCGCCCCATCACCTCCACCCCTTGCCAATGTGTGTGTGTGTGTGTGTGTGTGTGTGTGTGTGTGTGTGCCCGCGCGCGCGCGCGCGCCTGCGCACGTCTGTGTGCAGCCTCTTCGATGTGAGATATAAATTCAAATCCCTGGTTATCCTGGCTGTTCTCCAAGCCTCAATCTCACCTACAAAATGGGGATACTGGGCCCTGCCCAGTTTAAGATAAAGCTGAGAAAAGCCAAGAGCATCCTGAGCTCCCCTTAGTGTAGTGGCCCAGTCATCCCAACACCACCACAGAGGGTAAGATTTGTACCCAGGATTCCTTCTGCTCTCCAAATGGGAGCTCAGGGAGGCCACCAGGAGGTTGAGACTGTGGTCCTCCTGGACTACTGAACTGACCCCACCACCCTGCAGAAGGTCCAGCACCTCTAGCCTAGTCTGTGGGTCCATGAAGCACTCACCCAGTGGCAGTGGACACTCCAAAGCTCTGGAATAGTCCAGGAGACTGGAACCACCATCTAGGAAGTCCTTGAAAAGAGCCAAAAATAATCCAGCGCCCCACACCACCCATACCTTTCATTCTTCCTGAAGTTCCAGGGGAGCCACACACACTATCCCTATACACTATTTCCTTCCTGGATTCCTATGGCTAGTTGTCCCCACAGCTGACTGTTCACCCAGTCCCCCTCATGTAGAGGGGTGTGAAGAAATCTGGGGGCTGGAGGATGGGCAGATGACTGCCGTGGCTTCAGACTTTGAGAAAGTGGCACTGCCTCCAGGCCGCACTCAGGTACAGCTATGGGTCAAAGAGATGGGGTACTGTGTAGGCAGGTGCCTAGAAAAGGGAGCTGCACAGGGAACAGGAGTGCAAGCAGCCTGGGTGCAGGGCAGGCAAGAGCAGGAGAGTATGGGTACAGTAGCAATTTAGAGGCCATAGTCAGAGAGTAGACAATTTCATTGCTAGGGCTGATGACAAAATCTAGGGTGAGGTCATAGAAAACCTGGAGGTAAGTGGCCATGGGACTGGGAAGGGTAGGCTTTGACTCCCCAAGAGGATTCCTGGGCTGGGCAGATAACTCAGTAGAATAAGCGCTTGCCTGGCATGTGCAAGGTCCTGAGTTCAATCCCTGGTACCGCAAAAAAAAAAAAAAAAAAGGAGGATTCCTTCCTGCAGAATTCAGGGAGCAGCATGGGGCCAGGAGGGGAAAAGATGGCTGCAGAGTGGAGTGGCGTGGCCTTGATGCAAATAATACACTTGGGGATAATGGGCTGCTCCTCTCCACTCACTGCTGGACCATTCCCCTCCACCAGCCTGAACCTGAGCAATATCTGAGGGCCAACTCCCATCCCTCCTCCTAAGGCTTATTACAAGGAGGCAGATTAAAAAAAGAAAGAACAAAGACCCCCTAGCCCCGACCCCCACCCCTGCTGCCACCTGCCCTGGAAAATCCCAAACCAGGATGCATAAGGACCAGTGACCTACTATAACCTTTCTTCCCCTGGAGCTCATTACAGGTTCATGCATATGGACTACACCTCATAAGTATAACACATGTACTTGCTCCTCTAGGTATGCAATCACTTGAATAAACTTTGTGCTCTGTCCTTACTATTTTTCTCCATTCATTACATGAACAAGCGAAGAACCGATCCCAGACCTCATCACCCATGGTGACATCTTGGCAAGCCAGTTAGGAAGTAAGGCCCTTTTGGGGGAGATTTTATATTTGTTCTCGTCTCCTTCCCTGTTATTAAACTCTGCTAGGAGCACAAAAACTTCCACACATTGCTCAGGTTTGGGTTTATGCAACCTCGTTGCAGTTGGGAGATTTCTTTCCAGTAGCTAGAGTCTCTTAAGCCTGAGGGAGGTCCCCTAAATTGCTCTCTGTTATTTCCATACTCCTTGTCCCTCACTCTTTAAAACTAAACAGGCGGGATCCTTTTATCTCCTCTTAAAACTTGCTCCTTCACTGTGAAGCTTTCCTTTGCTGGGAAATGCATCCTCTTGTGATCTGGGTTAGTGGGTGCAGAGGAGCTGGGGACAGAGCAGGGGGCTAGGGAAGGTTAAAGAGACTGTGCAAGAGCTCGTAGTTTGGGGAGTGTTGGGTGTTGATTTTGTATTTGAGACAGGGTCTCACCATATACCCCAGGCTGGTCTTGAACTCACAGAAATCCTCTTGCCTTAACCTCCCAAGTGATGGGACTACTGCTACTCAAACCTCTGGCAATCCCTCCCCCATGAGGCCAATTGCCTTGCCAGGAATGGGTCCCCAAGCATGATACAATGACACCCTGGGGCAGGCAGTCAAGGCCACCACAGTAATCTATACCCTCACAAAAGGCAATAGTCTTTCGAAAGAGAAACCAGGCTCTCTATAAACCCATTATTCATACCTTTTTTTTTTTTTGCTATAAGGTCTTTGGTGCCATGCCAGTCCCCATGCAATACACCAATTTTACCAATAATCAAGCCTTTGGGGGAATACCTCCTAGTACAAGGTCTCAGACTCTTCAGTGAGGCAATGATGCCGACTCACCTCCTAGTGGCAGACCCATACACCCTCTCTGCACAGATGCCGGGAGGCCCTAATTGGTTCTCTGCCTTGACCTCAAAGTTGCCTTCTTTTCTATTCCTTTGCACCTTAATTCCAATACTTTTTTGTCTTTGAACAGAAAAATCCCCAAACTTGGCTCCACTGAAGGTATATGTGAGCTGTCTTGTCTCAGGGGGTAGATATCTCTGGCCCTAGGCCTCCCTTTTTAAGTTTAGGTCTCTAAGGTCTTTTTTTTTTTTTTTTTTTTTTTGGTGGAACCAAGGATTGAACTCAGGCCCTTGCACTTGCCAGAGAAGTGCTTATTCCACTGAGCCATCTCCCTGGCCCCTGGTCTCCAAGGTCTTGAGCCAAGGCTTATGCAAACAAGTAGAGTCTATCTCTAACCTAATGCTGCCTGATAACCATGAGGGTATGAATTTAATTCTTGGTACCAAAAAAGAGAAGCCTACTATAGTATGTACATGACCTTTTCATTCATAGCTATCAAGGAGTTATCTGATCAAAAACACCTTTATGACTCTCAATCTTTTAGTGAAGAGAAGTTAAAGATGTCCAATACATAGGACACAGATTTCTCAACAAAAAGTGACCTACATGGACCTACATTTTAACATGGGGACAGAAACAAATATCCTAAGAAAAATGGTGGTGATTTGCCATCTGGTCCTCCAAAATGTAAACAATAGCTGAGGCCTTGCTTGAGAATGGTTGGGTTCTTGGGGTCAATGAGATAGCTCAGTGGTCTAAAGCACCTGCTTAGGCAAGCTTAGGCAAACAGGCAGGGACCGTGGTTTGATACCCAGCACCACATGCTGTTGTAGCCCCGCCCCCACAACAGCATGGTGGGCTGAGCTGGCCACCAAAAAAAAAGTGATGATGGCCAGATTATATATATATAATATGTATGTTGACTCCAAGTATGCACATGTTGCCATCTAGAAAGGGGATTTTTGAAGGGCCTGAGTTCATTCCCCGGTTCTGCCAAAAAAAAAAAAAAAAAGAAAGGGGATTTTTGACTAGCCACCAGCCTCCCATAAAATATGGACCAAAGATGTTCAACATCCTTGAAGCAGTAGATCTTGCAAGTGAAGTAGCAGTGTCCATTACTGGGGACATCAAGCCTCCATGAACCCTGTCTCTTGGGGTAATTGAGTATTCCTTTTTTTTTTTTTTTTTTTTTGGTTGGAATCAGGGATTGAACTCAGGCCCTTGTGCTTGCCGAGGAAGCACTTATTCCACTGAGCCATCTCCCTGGCCCCCAAACGGGGGTTTGGAGTATTCCTTTTTTTTTTTTTTTTTCATAAGAATACTTTTTTTTTTTTTTCCAGAACCGGTGTTTGAACTCAGGCCCCTGCACTTGCTGGGCAAGCACTTATTCTACTGAGTCATCTCCCCAGCCCCTCTCGGGGTGATTAAAAGGCAGATCTGGCAGCCAAACAATTTGCCCACCAATATAATCACAGCCCATCAATAACTCCCTGTGGTCCCATTTCAAGATTTTGATTTGGAGCTAGCTTGCTCTGACATCCTGGTGACTAAATTCCAATCATGACCTGGAAAGAGGGTGGGCCCCAGGACCAACTAGCCCCCAGATGAAGAGGCATTTACATAACCCTCTTAACCGCACCCTCTATCATCAAGGTATAGGGAATAGATAGTTGGAGTCACCTCTTCAGGATGAAAACCAAGACCCTTGAGACACTAGAATATGAAAAAGAGAGACCACACACCTCATACACCTGCAAACTGGAAGATGACTTCAAGTTCCTTAAAAAAACACACTAACCTGCTGTCTTAGTTACTTTTCTCTCACTGCTGGGACAAAATGCCCAACATCCACGATTAAGGAAGGAAAGGTTTATTTAGTTCACGGTTAATGGAGGTTTCAGTTCATACTTAGCTGGTGCCAAGGCAGCACATGGCAGAGGGCAACCATTCAAGGTAGCACAGAACAGCAAAAGAGCTAAGGGGAGGAGTGACAGCAACAGAGAGCAAGTCTGTCTCCCTTAGGTTGCATTCAGGCTATCCGCTCTAGGCGGGGTGCAGCACTCACACCCATAATCCCAGCAGTCCTCACACCCATCATCCCAGCACTAGATCATGAATTAATCACAAACACTAGAAGTCTGCCTCATAACTACATGAGGCTTTGAGGGGGACAATTAGACACAAACCATAACACCTGTTAAATCAGATAAGCTTATTCCTTTTTTTTTCAAAATTTTATTGATAAACAGATAGCAATGAGACAGTTTCAAATCAAATCAGAAGTACAGTTTCAACAAATAATACACTGCATATATTCTTATTAGTGGTTAATTGCTGTACAAGATGCGGACTTGTGATCCTCTTTACAAACACCACAATCATTCTATTCATTAAGAGAATGCAACTATATATCTATCCTAACCTTATTCCTTCT